AAAACTGAAACAACTTCTTTGCTCAGGAAGTGGTGGCCCATATCCTAGAGCAAAGTAATTCAACTTTCACTGCACTATTAAGCTCTACTGCTAAGTACTATACAGTATGATCACATCTATAACATCCCAATTAGCCGTCAACTTGTTACAGATGTAAAATGTAGGGCAATTTTATAACACCTTACAAAGCACATATTGCCATTTTATAAATATTGTGGACCACACAGCCCCTGGCAAACTTGGTAGCATCCCCAGCCCGTTCCACACAGAGCAAATTTGAGAATCAGAAACACACAAGGGATATTTACACAAGAAAAATGGCAGCTAGCTGCCAAATTAATCAGAATTAGACCTTAATTAGATGGAAAATTCAGGTCAGGATGAGATAAGAATTCAAATCTCATGGGCACCGACCAGTGTTTTATTTCTAAAGTTGGTTGTGCATTTTTAAGATAGCAGTCAAGCTGATTTCCCTTTAAGAGAAATGACTGGGCCATCAAATAAGGATAAATTGTTTTTCAGATATGCATGATGGATCTTGGTTCTGATAGAATGTTGCTCTATCCCATACTTCTAGATCTCCTATTGACGTCAGCATGGGATAGACAGAAAGATTTTTCCAAACAGGGAAATGCAGATTATTGTGGCAAATACTCTACTGGACTCTTTGGTAACAAACCAAGTGACTATCTATAGGATGGAGAAACAAAGGAAGAAATCTACCAATCCAAACTGTGATCTGTTATAGTCACTGTCACTGAGATGAGAATCTGTCTCACTGTCTCTTTTACACTCCCAAGGCAGCAAGCAGCTGCTGTGTGCAGGAACAGTGATCCAATTCTAGAAATCTCCCAGCAACAACACTTACCCTTTGTATTCACAGTCTCCTGGTCTCAATCGAAGTCAAATTCTACCTGCTGCTCATATGGTAACACACACTGCCTTGGAATAAAAATTATTCAGAATAAGATCAGATTATCTTAATTATCAAAATTCAAACTAATATTTTATCACTGATTTTTCTACAGGCTTTCTGTAACTTTTTCAACTCAGTATTTTTTGCATTTTGCTGTTTAAGCTATAAGCTTCTTACAGGGATAGAGGGGGGGAAAAAACCCTCTTGACATAATACCATGAAATCAAAGAGCAAGCTGACTGGAAAAAACAGTTACTATATTTAAACTGCATTATCCTATGACAGAATAGCAGTTTTAAAACCTTTCCACTTTGATACAGCACACTTGCAGTATTTCAATATGTCTTAGTAGATTTCAAGTGGCTGAAACATTTTAATAACCGTAATTTAAGAGGAATAAAATAGTACTGTAGGAGGAAGAAACAATTCCCCTATTTGTCACTCATGAAAACTTGGATTTGATAGCAGCTGGGGTAGTAAGAGCGGTGAGTTTGGTGGGCTCAACCTAAGCCCCATTAGGCAATTAGCCAGTCTGTAAAAATCATGACATAATTTGGCACAATGAAGCAGAATAGTGTAACTGTCTATGTGCACTGAAAGAGATGCAGGCCTGAAATAGGAAGGTTATTGGAGGTTCAGGTGTATTGGCTCCACAAACTGGCATTTTGTGTACTGCCCTTTGGTGCTACATTTAGCTCCAGTAAAAACTATTACTCTTGTCTGCAGATTAAGCTACAAACAGTATGTTTTTGTGTACAGCAAGAGACAATTTGTATTACAACCAGTAACTCTACTGTGAATCTGCTTTGCAGCAACAGGGATGACTTAATGTTATTGCACTTTGAAGGAAAGCATCCTGCAGTCATCTCTCAGGCCAAATTCCCATTTACTTCAATTAGTAAGCATTACAGGAACTGTTTTAAGGCTTCTGCCTGATGTGTTGGCTGCTTTTTCTAATATATTACAGTGAAAAAAAGATAATAGGCCAAATGTATGAATGGTGTACTTCCATTATGTGAATGGAATTTTCTCAAGGCCAAAGCTGGCCCACTGTGTCATGTTTCTTTCCAAGGTACCGCTCTAAGGGGATCCACTCTGAAAACAAACTGCAACTTCACAGCAAAATAAATTGGTTTCCTTCTTCCTTAAAGATGGAGAATGTAAAACTACCCATACCTGCTGGAGGCATTAGTCTCCTGGAAGCTTTCATGGTCTTGTGTTGCCTAAGGCAGAGCTGAGGTGCCACCATTCTGATTTGGGAATACTTTCCCACCTTCTTTAAGAGATAAGACAATTCTAATTCTGTGTGATATCAAGTGATGCCAAAATTAGCAGGTACTGCTTCTGCTGCGGTATGTACATGGCTGTTTGTTCAGTCTGCACTACACTGTCCAGACCAAACATCCTATCTGCAAACGTCACTCAAACATGAATCTGTCAGATCTTTAATCATTTGGAGGGTATCACCTGCAAAGAAATCCTCACACTGGTCAGCTTCCACATAGGTGGAAAGACAGGGAAGCTATTGTGAAGGAAATACAGTTTATTCTGCTCTGGAAAGACCTGTAGAATAGTCCTTAATTCAGCCATTCTTCTCTCAAAATTCACTGAGCCATAACAGAACACAGGACAGAAATAAACAAAGGCAGAGCACTATGTTCAAAAGATGGGAAAAAAGGGGAAAACCCAAGTCCTCTATTCTTAATGCACAAGAAAGCAAACAGTGGAAGTGAAGTTGTCAAGCTGTAGGTGAACTAGTGAATCCCAGAGAATGCCACCAGTTCCCCAGGATTCACTAGAATGCAAACTCTATTCACTTTCCCAGCAGCATTTCCACCTGTTAACAAGTTAGACTGAAAGGACACCATATCTCCTTTATTACACACTCTGCCAAGCTCTAATTGCACATGCCGTGGTTCTGGTATGCTTAAAATAATTTTCCATAAGCCTTTTTGGAAACAGGCACAATAAGGAAACTGAGAATGACATACAAAGTATATCAGAGGGAGAAAGAATATGAAACATAACCCAGGTTTCTTTCCAATATGAGTTTGTTTTGAAAATTGCTACTGATGCTTAATTGTACTGCTCTTTTATAACGATTAAAAGTAATACTTTAAAATAGAAAGAAAATGAAAGGCAGGATTCTCAAGTCCTTTACAGGTGCTCTTGTATATGAAGGCTACTAAAATATGCTTCTGTGTAAAAACATTGCTGCGGTAAATGTATTTTGACAAAAAAAGCTTACATATATTGCAGGCTCTGTTAATGTGGTGGAGGAGAAGGAACTACTCATACAGACATACTGTGCTGTCAATGAAATATGTTAATTCAACTAGCTGGCATTATTCTGTATATAATGACTGTGGAAATGATGTATTTTTTAAATGTTGCATATACACATAATATGGGGACTGGCACCGAGTCTATCACGCAGAGGTGTCTGGAGACAGAGGTGTACATGTACATATTTGTGTGCTAGAGGACACTGAAGGTAGGTGTGGGTTATGTGGGCCCACATAGCAACAGGCATCGATCAGCAGTTTTCTTGGCATAAAGTGCGTATTTTCAAAGACATTGTTTTGTGAGAGTATTAATTTCAGATGCCTGTGCACCTTGTGACTTCAGTTCTGTTTTGGGGATGATAGGATGATGTGCTCATAGAATATCAAGAAAAGTGTTAAAACTGGTTAAGAAACATTCAGTAAACTATATGCAACTGTCATGTTGATCTCTGTAACAGTTAGGGTATGTCTATGTGCAGTGTGAGGTAGTGGTTGGAGAAGCAACGTAACTGCATTCAAGCCACATGAGGCCACACTAATTAATCCTGCTGATATGCCAAGAAAATTAATATGGGAAATGCATGGAATAAGTAATTCCCATTCCTGTTACTAGATCATCAGACCTAATTCAATGGATTTTCATTCAGAATGGCCCTGTGAAGTGTAGGCATGCTGTGAAGTTATCCTTATCTGAACAATGGCTAAGTACAGAGAAGTCTCTTTTAGGGCACTTGTACTTTTAATAGAAAGTATATAGGTGCCACGCATACCCTAGAAAATTGGGATTTTATATTGACTGTCCCATCTCCTTACTCCTTTTGCTAATACAGAGGTAAGACTAAGATATTTTTCTTCCAGATCAGACATTCAGTTTCTTATAGCATGGTACTGTGGGTGGTTCGTAACAGCGATGGATATGCAGATTGTATGTAGGATCTGCATTTATGTAAGCCAGCACGCATGTAGAGACCAGCTTTTTTATTTGCACACGCATATACAAGAACATCACTTGGCACCGAGAGGTTTTTAAGGGAAGGCGTTTACACTGTGTACTGAACGGCTTGCTATGTGTTGTGCACCTATTGCAGGTGTCGTTACCGTCCATTGGTGCTGACCTCCCTCAGTTTGTATTGTGTTCACTGAAGTTCCTGTGAATTATGTGGTGGGGTGGCTAAATCAAGTCAGGTTTCTGTGTTCTATATTGGTTTGTGGGTCTGTGTCAGTTATCGAGATACTGCGCTGAGGCAAGCTGGCATCTCACACCACACCCGCTGCTGAAATCACACCGTGCAGTTTATACCTCCTTCTGTTATCGCTGTGCAAGCTGGGGCTGAGTGTGCGTGTCACTGTTATGCTGGCGGGGCAGCGTGTGATGGGAACAGGGGAAGTTGTGCACAGGGCACTGCTCAGCACCAGCACAGGCCTCGTCAGAGCAGGGGCAGGACCTCTGCGGAGCGAACCCCTCTGTCCTAGCGTGAAGGCACGAAGCCCTCACTTCCCTCCTTCACCTCAGGCACACTCATGGCTGGATGAGGCTCCTGTCACGACAGGGGTAGGGACAGCCCCACACTCACCCTTTAGCTGGATTAGGTTCCTGTCACGACAGAGGCGGGGACAGCCCCACACTCACCCTTTAGCTGGACGAGGTTCCTGTCACGACAAAGGCGAGGACAGCCCCACACTCGCCCTTTAGCTGGATGAGGTTCCTGTCACGACAGAGGCGGGGACAGCCCCACGCTCACCCTTTGGCTGGGATGAGGCTCCTTTCACGAGAGAGGTGGGGGCAGCCCCACACTCACCCTTCGGCTGGATGAGGCTCCCGTCACGACAGAAATGAGGGCAGTCCCCACAGTAAGGCTGACGCTCCTGTCACGACACGCGCGGGGCAGCTCCGTGCCAAACCCCTGCGCCGGTTCACCTATCGCGACAGCTCGCACCGCGGGCGGCGGAAGGCGGGCAGCTCCCCTCAGCAGGCGCGCGCCCCCTCAGCTCCCCCGGCGGGGGTTGAGGCCGGGACAGAGGGCGGCCACGGCGGTTCACGCCGGGGCAGAGGGGCGGGATAGGGGCCACCCCACCTGCGGGCCTCTCCCACTGCGGAGCGAAAGCGCTTCCGCTGCCGCCGCATGAGGTCTGCATCACCCGCCTCCGCCTCCTCCGAGCCGAGGGCGGGCGGGCGGCCTCGCTGCGCAGGGCCGCGCCAGGCGCCGCTGCCACCGCCTCAGCGCTGCGGGGCGGAGCCGCTCCTTCGCCCCGCCCCGCGCCGCGAGCCCCGCCAATGAGCGGCGTCCACATGCCGCGCCGGCGAGAGGGGCCCGGGCGGCCCAGCTCCCCTGAAATACATTAGAGCAGCCGCCGCCGGTGCGCGACGGGAGCGAGCGGCGGGTCCGGAGCAAGGGGGGGCGAGCATAGCCCGAGCCGCGACGGAGACAGCGGCCTAGGGCTGGCTGAGGGGGAGGATCGGGCTGCTTGAGGGGAGGGGGCGATTCCGACCCTTCCCGGTGGAGGCGGGCAGAGGGGCACCTACGCCTTTTTCTACCCACCCCGCCTCTGGAGCCGGGCGCGGTGAGGCGTGCCGTGCCGTGCCGTGCCGTGCCGTGCCGTGCCGTGCCGTGCCGTGCCGTTATCGTCCTCCGCGGGGGCGGCTCGGAGCCCGGGGAGGCGAACGGAGAGGCCGCTCGGTCACCTGGACGCGGCCCATCCCCGCGCAGGCACCCGCCGCACGCCCGCGCCCCTGAGGCGACAGCGGCTCCGGAGGCCCGAGCTCTCCTCAGCTGCCCGCCCGGAGCTGGGGGGTGCCTGAAGCCCCGCTCATCCCCACCGGAGAGGCCACTCGGCTCCCTCGGAGGGTGTGTGGGGTGGGAGGGGGGCGAGGGCTTTTTTTTCCCGGCTCCTTCCCCCCTTTTTTTATTTTTTTCCTTTTTCTCCTTTTTTTTTTAATCTTTTAAGTATATTTTTCTCCCCCTCCCCCCTCGACCTCCCTCAGGAAGCGCTGAGGTGGGCTCGGGTGCTCCTCTCAGTCGCGGGAGGGGGTCTATGCTGATAGCACGGGGGTGGTGGGGCAGAGAGCGAGGGGCTGAGGAGGGGGCTCGCCGCCGCGCCCGCTGAGGAGGAAGAGGCGAGGCACCATTTGCTGCTCCCTGCCCCAGCCATGGAGAACGCGCACACAAAGACTGTGGAGGAAGTTTTGGCTTATTTCGGCGTCAACGAAAGCACTGGGCTCAGCCTGGAGCAAGTCAAGAAGCTGAAGGAGAAATGGGGCTCCAATGGTAGGTGAACCGGCCCGCGCCGCCGCCTCCCTTCCGCCGCGGGGATGCTGTCGCTGGCACTCGTCGTCTTCCCCCTCTCTTCTCCTCCATCCCTTTTCTCTTTTAAGCTCATCCTTCCCGGGGCCCTCTTTGGAGGCCTAAACGTGTGTGTATTTGCGAAGCCGGCATCTCTTACAGGACCCGGAATAGGAGCGAGGGAGAGAAGATGGCTGACTTGAACTCCACCTCGTGGGTTTCTTTCATACCCCGAGCTCACAGGGCTGCTTTGGGAAGGAGGATGTCACCTCCGTTTCCTTTCACCTTAACGCTGGGAAATCTTCTTCCAGTCTGAAATGAAGCCCTGTGGGTTGTTTATTTATGATTTTAATGTGGGTTTCGTCCGTCTTGACCTTCATTTTCCCCTCCTTTTCAGTGCCTTTCCGTCCCTTATTTTACATTCTTCTCTCGAGTCGGCGGGGCACAGAATTCGGCCGATGTTTCTTTTTTTTTTCCTGTAATCCTTACTGCTTGGCCTTCCCAGTCCGTTTTGAACTCCAATACTGTTGTACCAAACTGGAAAGCTATGAGAAAATTATAGGGTGGGCATTTTTTAGCTTTAACACTGCTTTTTTTTGCCTCTTGGAATTACTAAATCTAGTTGTAAGGAAATGGAAGGGAGAGCAGAAATAAGAAAATGCCCTTAAAATGGAGGAAAGAATCTGAAATATCTTTAGCCAAGTTTGTTGTTTGGTTTTGTTTTTTTTTTTTAAGTGAATGTGGAAGAAAACCTTTGTCAGAAAGCGTTAGAAAAGCGTTTTGAGCCTTTGACCCTTTGTGTGCAGCAACAGCACTAGTCCCACAGCTGGCTGGAGTGATGACTTGGCTGAATTGTAACCCTTGGCACATTCCGGCTAACCTCTAAGTGTGTTAAAACGCAAACCCATCAGGCCTATTCAGATGCTTTAATGAAAAGAGGCACCTTAACGAGGCTTTCAGTATGTCCGTCAAATCCAACCCAGTTGAGTGTGCAAACCAGGAATGATACCTAGTGGATGCCTTGCAATGCTCTCTAATGTGTTTCTCCAATGATCTCTTTTCTTTGACATGCTTCCTGGAAAAATCTTCCACTGACAGAGTTACCAGCAGAGGAGGGTAAGTGTGTTCATGAAATCTGCTAATTCTTGTTGATAATTCATCCTTTTTTAAATGTACACAACTAAATGGCTTTGTTACATATTGCAGGAAAAACCTTACTCGAGCTTGTGATTGAACAGTTTGAAGACTTACTAGTTAGAATTCTGTTGCTGGCAGCTTGCATATCTTTTGTAAGTATGATTTTTTTCATTTCATAGGCTTCTGTATTGCAGAATGACAATGTGTAGGAGCTGTATGTACTCGAGTTACTCTTTCTCAAAAGGTAGAAGTATACGATACAAAGTAAATCGTGATCATTTAAATCAGTTGCTTTGTGCAGAGGTTTCCATATGCTAGAAACCAAAATTTCAGGGGATCTCATTGCATGAGTCATGAGTACGTAACCACACTTGACAGGTATTTTAAAAAGTGCTTCTCATTCAACCCGGTTTGCTTATTTGAGGTGGGATTTCCCAATGCTCTTGTTGGCTTTGAAAACTAACCTTGAGTAAGTGTTTAACTGGACATTCTTCTTGCCTTTGGGTTAATCGTTATCAAGCTCAATGTATAATCATTGGAAGACATTTTTGGATGCAGTGCAGACTGTAAATAGAATTTACATGGCGAATATTCCAGTTGCCTTCCCTTCCTGATAATAGCAAGGTGACAGTTGTTGCTTTTGACAGTGACAAGAATGATGACGGCTGTGATGGCACCATTGTTGACCAAATTTGGTAACTGACCTTTGAATAGTCTAGTCATTTAAGTGGACATCTTGCTTTACATACAGGATTAAAAGAATAAGAACAATTTTGGCTTTTTTAATTTTAAAAGCATTTTTATGCAATCTTTTTACCTAATGGGTAAAGGGTATGTGTTTGCTGAAAAACTGAAAAGGAAGATAAAGGCTACATGCAGAAGGAAGTTGAAGGCTGTATGTCCTGGGGAGCTGGACAACAGAAATAGAAGTGTGCAGGGCATTAAATTGTTTAGGTAGGAGTAAAAGTTTATAGTAGACTTTGCCCTGGAGTTGTAATTAACTACTTAAGAAAAAATAAATGCTGCAGCTCTTGGGGGGAGTGGAAATTGTGGTGACCCTTTAGCTAAGGGCAAACTAATTAGGATGGTCAGAGGAGAATGTTTGATGGGGGAGGGTTGCTCTGTTGTGGCTGCTGCAGCACATGCTGTATTGCTCTTCCTCCACCAAGAGAGGCTTCAGCTATCCCCACACTGACACTTCTCAAAGCGCTTTGGGTTTTGGTATGCATGTACCATCACCAGTTGAGCGTTGGTCTTGAGCATGGAGACGGATGTGCTTTACTCACTCTTCTGTTTCCTGGGGAGTAAATCAGGCTGGCTGTAGAAAATTGAATGAACAGGTCATTCAAAAGATTTTTTTTTTTTCCTCTTCTTTCCCATTTTCCCCTCCCAGAGGGTAAGAAGGGGATGTATTTCTGTACCTGAAGAGGCGTGACTTTCATCTCATGAGATAAATGGCAGTGCAGAAGGTTGTTAGGCTTTCATGCCAAAATACATTATGTGGTTTTCTTAGAGCCAAATAAGTGGAAAATCAAATTCACCAAATTTTAAGCTTTTGTTGTTGAATCTGAGTAAATGCAATACCAGACTGACAGAGGTCATAGAACGTGCACTGCCAAGCCCTCTTTGAAAACTTGATTAGTATCTGGATTCAGTTTCTTTTTTCAGGATGCTTAATTTTACTACCTAATTAAGAGGAGGCTGTATTTTAATGGAGTGTGGGATAGATTTGGGTTCTGTGCAAGTGGCATGCTATATGACCTTGGGCTACTGCTCTGCCTTTTTGGTCTCCTATTTGAGAGCTACAGATACCCACTATAAATTGATGTTAGTAGCAAAGATTTTCTTTTGATGAAATGTTAATAAAAAATACGATTTTTGTACTTTAAAAAACTTTATTTCTGGCTTTTTCCTTGCTCAGAAGATGATCATTTATTGTCTGTATGAGAAAGAGCATCTTGAAGTGTATAGATCATCGTTGTTTTGCACTGTGGAAGCTTTTCTGGTGACTGTGTTGTGATCATAAATGATGCTAGATTTTTTACTATTGTGAGTAGCTGCACAGAAAAAGCTATTTTTAACAGAGGTCTGCGTTAGATTTTTGTGCAGAAACATCCCCTCTTACATACAACATATATTTCTTTGTTCAAAGTGCCTTTTGTGTCCTCTACTCCCACACCCCCTGTCAGGTATGTGTCAGTAAAATAAATCAGACTAACAGCTGAATCTGTGTCACCCTGGCTGATTGGAGGGGTCATATGCTGCGTGTTTGTTGGCTGTAGACACTATGTTCTGTGTTCCAAGTTGGAACTGCTGTTACAGATGTGTCTAGTTAGTAGAAGCCTTAAGTATGGCTTTTGAAGAGAAACAATATAAATAATTTCTTATGGTGAGTAAATAGATCTGTGTATAGGCTTGGACTTTGTCTCAGTGTTCTATGAAGCCTATAGAGAAGTAAACCTGTAGGGTGTATCTCGGCGATTCAAGGGCCTTCACAGCCTGACTCTGCATGCAAGTAAAAGGATGTTTAATTTTCCATGAACTATGGCTTTTAATTCTTGCTGCTTGTGTAGCATGTACTCAGATCTACACTATTTACATAAAAGAACAGCTTGCTTTGCTGTGTAAATGACAAGTTGCAAGATGTTAATGGTGCATCTGATGTACAGTTTTTCTTTGGTGAAGTATATATGCTTTAAAGAGTGATTGTATGCTTAACTGTGCAGTCTTAT